ATCGTTTGATGTGAAAATAATAATCTATTGTGTTACGCACGCAGGTAAACATATCAATTTGGTATGCTTGAACTATTACGAGTTTATCTTAGTCGGAAAATGAGAACGAGGATCCGGTGTCATGACATGCTACTGTAATCTGAGTGTCCCAACCCCCATTGAGTGAAAGAAGAAGACTTGATATGAAGTAGAACCTGTATTCCACAAGCATCCAGAAAGTACGAGGTCCGAGTCCAGAAGAGAATCAGGATCCCGTACTAGGGACCCGAGTCCGGGTCATAAAACGTTACTGCTAATGCGTATTTAAACATTCTGGTCGAATAGGAACAACATTGAAGTTTGTGACATTGACAGTTAAGGCGACCAATAGGACGATCATAAAATTGACCAATAGGGATCCACCAATAGAATTTACAAAATGGTACTTTGTAGGATATTTGGTGAATATCCTAACAATTCCTGATGTACTTAACCCGTAGAAAATTAAATTACTAGTTGCTTTTTCAAATAAAAAAAATAAGTATGTAGTCTTGAGCAACTATATTATCTATTTTCTTAGTAGTGAAGCTTATATGATTTTCTGAAGTGTTTGTTATAGGATATTTGACGGAAGCGGAGTTCCTCAGACAATTAGAAGACTTACAAGAATAGAACTTTCTATCATTTGATAATAAGACCGATGGTTCTTATATAGATTATATGTGAAGAACGAAAAGTCATCTCCTGTGACCGACCAGCATCATGAAGGTTGGTTCCTCAATAAATTCTTTATCTAATAGTGTAGATGAACCGTCGACTGTGTATATGAATTTTATTCATTTGTTAAGGCTGATGGAAGAGGCTTTTACACGGTTTTTTGATAGTTGGTGTGACAATCAAGAATTACTATGTCTTATTTATGAGAATGATCACAGCTTTTATCATCTGACAGCTGATTATCAGCATATCATTCATCCATTATGATTTCTTAGGCGGTATATTGTCCATATGTTTTCGGTGAGCGACAACTGTTGTTTTAAAAAAAACCAAAACCTCCCATTCCAGTCTAAACCATACTGTGATGTTTACATTGTAAGTGGTTTTAAAGCATTTGCTGGACTCATCGTCTTTCTTGGAGATGCAATCTATCGTAAACGGAGATTTAAAATGTTACATTTTTAATACAAGCTAAAATTTACAGCACCTTGATTTTCGGTTACTACTGCAAGTGTTTGTTGCTATATAAGATAGTGAGATAAGATTATTTAGATTTCTGATCTGAGAAAATTCGTAGCTAATTAATAGGTTACACATTTGAAATCATGAATCGATCAATGTCGTGGATGCACATTGCTGATGAGTCCCATACCAGGACGAAACGGCTGTCTAGTGCTTCTAGGTTTCTAATGATGGTCTAACATTGATCAATTCATGATTTCAATCTTCACAACCACTTATTGTAATTAATAAGTCTTTAGCTTTTTATTAAAGATTGGTCTTTCTCCGAGAAACCATTAAGATGACTGTTCACAAGAAGCTTATTTTTTTGTGTAAGCCCTCAGATAGCTTGAGATTAAAGATGCACGACTACTAGTTAGAATAATGGCTTTTTGTGTCAGAAAATGACAAACTTATGTACAAAATGATATTACGTAATAAGTTGTGAAGTGGGTAAGGAGGTTAGAAATCATTCACTCTTTAATTAATATCCGACTGTTTGGCCTACTAAATTTTTGGGCGTCATATTTGTTAATAAGAGAATGAAAGGAACAAATCAGTGAAAATATTATTAAGGATTATTAACATACGATCACTTTGCCAACATCCAATTATCAATGAGTTTTTGTAATTAGAAAATGATTTCCTCAAATTTTTCGTTTTTAATGTTATTCTTTGATGAAAATTATAATAGTTAAATGTAAATCATAGAAAACTTCTGTCTGTTCATCAATCTCCACTTGAAAGTTTCTCAATCCACTTAATGGATTATGACCATCGTTTTGTTGTTGTTATTGCTGGTTGCCATGACAACCACTGTGAGAATTTCTTTCTTCCTTACCAAAAGAGACTAATTAATAAGTAAGTGAAACGAAAACCAGGCACTGTTTAATTCTAATACAAACAGAAACCATTGATTTATGCGTATACTGGTTGTTTGCATTTTTTAAAATTGATATTTTAGGTTTGCGATTGGTCAGTGCAGATTATCTCGATACCACCATGAAGTTCCAAATAGTTTTAAACAGTGATAAATGATGGGTGGCATTGGAATGTAGGATGCACATTTCGCCATATTTATGAATCATTAACCGAATATACCTGCATCCGAGAGTTGATATTCATTGCGGGATGGTAGACCGCCTCTCAATATGATATCTCTGTGATCTAATGTGGTATGGCAACTTGGAGTGATATACGTGTGTATAAAGTTCTACGTTGAAGTTGACTGACTGATCACGATGCTGAATTGCAGTTGTCACTAACCTACTTCTGGGCATAATATTTAGAACAGAATTCGATAAAACATAATTACTTTGTAATGTATTTCTTTGAGTGTATGTTATCGTCTATACTGCTGGCAAAAATACTAATGGAACCACTCATGAAGCTGATTTGTTTTGGAAAATGTTAAATGACGAAATCCATAATATGGATTTTCCTGTTGGTTGACTGGATTATGAGGACGTCAACATCTGAGTGCAAGCATGGAATACAGTGGACAGCTAGGATGCAGCTGAACGATCTGAACTTCGCAGATGATTTGGATCTTGCATCCTACACGCAACAGCAAATGCAGGAGAAGACGACCAGTGTAGCTGCAGCCTCAGCATCAGTAGGTCTCAACACATACAGAAGGAAAAGCAAGATTCTCCGATATAACACAGCATGCACCAACGAAATCACACTTGATGGAGATGCCTTGAAGGATGTAAAATCCTTTACATATATATGGGCAGCATAATTGATGAGCAAGCTAGATCTGATGCCGGTGAGATGGAATGGTTTGGCAAAGCAAGAGCGGTATTTCTACAACTGAACAACATCTGAAATTCAAAACAGCTGTCAACCAACACCGAAGTCAGTGTGCATCCTCAACTCTTGCATCTCGCAGGATTCGAACCCGGGACCTTCGGTACTGTGCGCGAAAGCCTAACCATCGGACCAATGGGCCGGCATCCAACGGTGTTAATGTCTAACTCTGATTGATCAACGGATTTTGCGCAACCTCACCCACTTGTCTTTGGTAGTTACTTCCTACACACAACAGGGTTGAACTCCATCGGTCACGTCTTCTCAACTAGAACTCTGAGAATTTCCTCACAAAGCTAGTCACTAGTGAGCATTGTTACGATATTTTCAGGCAAGAGTTGATGATTTCGAGTAGGGGTAAAAACACAAAAACCCTCCCAAACTCTTGTGCACGTAGAAATACAGACTAAATTATTATTTATGAGAATTAAACCTGTCCAACACTATAGAAACAACACCGAACTGCACTATTGGTTTGAAATCTGACAACTTCTGAGTGCACGTTCCGTCAGCATACGACATGAAACCATCGTGAATGAATATCAATTGGAGTTATCAGACATTTCAACTCAACTATAAATGAAATTACCAAGAGGATAACCAGATAATGGTAAATAACATTCATTGAAGTATAAATCTAAATAGAAGCTATGTATTACTCGAGTTGGTTGGAGAAAACTGGTGAGCGGCCTATGCTCCATTGGGGGTAACAGGCGTAAGTAATTATTTGATTAAGTAATTACTCGAATGATCTCTTAAACTTGAAACAATAAAAGTACCTAATAACACTGAGTTTAAGTCTTAACGAAAGATGGCAACAAATGTATTTCCTACCTCTATGGGGAAACTGAACATTCCACAATACAAACCACCATGTCTCATTCCAATCAGGATTAAATCTATCTCCTACACCTCTCAGCGACTACTTAAATATTTACAGCAGCAATGACACCTTAAACTGATATCTATTTGCATGAGTTGATGGTCCTAAAGTGCTCCCCCGTTTAAAACTTATTTTTTTAACCTAAAACCGCAATCTTACAAATAGGCATCATTTTTTTTTTGTATTAATTGAAATCCATGAGTAACAAGCACCTAACTCCAGCTAATATTGAAGAGGCAAGAACTCATATATTGATTCTAAACCAGTCGACTTTAACCACCCTCCGATATTACTTATTGAATTATTCCACATTCAATACACATTGTCAAATAGTCACATATCATTATATCCAATCTCTCTCCTGTAAAATGTGTTCAACATTTCAACATCTGTATTTCATAGAATTCGTACCTGGAACATTTATAAATACAATAGATTACTTGTGGGTAGTCATTCATGTTTTCTGGCGTATTATATAATAGAATTCATTTCAAAAATGATATATCATTAACAAGTTTTCATCATTACTCATTCTTAATTCGATTAAACACACCACCACTCTATTGATCAATGTTCAATGCTATTGTGAAAAAATGTCAATTAAGAAAACAGATAATTATGAATTTGTTTATATGTTTTTTTTTCTCATTCGATATCATATAATTAATATATATTGAAGTGTTTTTTCTTCATAAATTGTAAATAGATAACATGAATGATAGTTAGGCCTAATTTGTTGTGTTTACATGTTTTCAGTTAAGTAATAATAATTGAGTAGTAAGTAGATAGATAAATAAAATAAAATAAAATAGAAAACCCAATGATCCAATATAGAATAGAGATTTGAAGAAAATATGCATGTTCAATTGTCAATAAATAGAATGATTTGTTTGAATACATCAGTCATTATATACCATCCCAATGGATAGATAACATTTAAAAAAAAACATATTTTAAATTGATTCAGTCCGTGGTGAATGAATGAATGAATGAATAATGTTGGTTTTTCTGGTGTGTGTGTGTGTGTCACGCAATATTGATCATTGATCCATTTTGTAAAAAGATAAATGCAACTTTAGTTGTTGTCGGTGTTGTTGTGAAAACTTCCTTAATCAATTATCACACGAATTGAATCTTCGAATAATGCAATAACCAGCATAATCCCGATTCCAGTGGTTAAACCAGCTGTTTGTATAGCCAACTGACCAATTCGTGTTTGACCTGGTCTCAATTCAACGGAATTCAATTCAGGTAGCTAAAATGATGTGGTTTTTTTAAAAAATAGAAAACATGAACAATATAACGAATACGATTGAATTAAATAAATAATTTAAACGAGATAAAACCGTATGGTGTGGTGTATACTACTCATAAAGTAGGTTATAAGTAGTATACAGTGGAGTGTTGCCCAAAAGTTAATGCTGAAGTGATGAGTATCTGATTCAGATGGTATGGCGAGACCAGAGTATTTTGAAGGCTAGAAGACAGTTAGGAATCTGCTCGTTTTGTAAATGAAAGTCTGAAGGTTAGGTGTTCATATTTTTTTCGGCAAACTGTAGGCTCTTTAAATCAATTGCGTTTATTCTATCTTAGTTTCTTCGAAGAGTTGTTCCAGTTATCAATATAATCAAAGCTCTGGTTTATTTTATTAATGATTTTGTTGTACTTATGGTTAGTTAAATAAGACTTTAATAAAGAAGTGACATTGAGAAGTAACCTGTTACTTCTAAATTAATAGAAGGTTACAGAATGACATGGCTCAAAACCGTTTGCAATGGCGCAGGTGCATTTATTCTTTGTGTTCTCTCAAATCCTAATCTTTTGGATTCTTCAAGACCTCTCGTTTTGACCTTCTAAACTTATCTCACTGAACCATACTTCTTGAATAATATCTTCTGATCCTAACCTCCGATTACTTCGAATATCTATACTATCTATACTATCTATACTATATACTATATCTATACTACTACTACTATTGGATTTGAATTGACAATTACATCTCTGTGCTAATGTGGTATGGCAACATGAACTGATGTAGTTACGTACGAATTTCTACGTTGCATCTGACTGACTGACTCACTACAGAATTCTCAATTGAATTAAACATAGTAAGTGTTGCTAATCACTTAAAAATTCGATTATTTGTATAAGTCGTTTTAAGGCATTAAACTGTGACATTTCGTCATAACTTTGTGATTGCTAACGCTGCAAGAGCATTTCTATCAGTTGATGAGAATTGATGATAATCATTGATTTAAACCTCTTTCACACTTATCATCATCATAGTGCACTCGTAATCTTGATTAATATTCATAAAAAAAATTTTAATCCACTTCTCATCAGAGTTGTTTTTAGCTTCGCTATTGAAGATACGAATAATTTACTTAAACATAGATTCATAGCCAATAAAATGCATCAGTTTCACTAGTATCCCAGGTATTATTACTTAGTGATAAGTCAAGGTTTCAAGCCATCATCTCATTCTCTGTAGTCATTCACTATTAAGTTAAGTGCATCACAATGCTGATCTCTATAGACTATATGCTTATTCGATCAATAGAATCCGATTAACAACTAAAATTAGAAACATGATATTCATTATTTTGACACTATAAGTTCGTTTGCACAGAATCTTCTAGAAGAACTAAACGTTTTATAAATCTATCACTAAAATGACACTTGGTCTGAAGAATTATGTACTTTTTCATTATGAAGTTATGGAGATAGTCGTTTTATATTGAAATCGTGAATCAACCATTGTAAGAAAACCTTTAGAAACCTGGAAGCATTCGATGACCGTTTCGTTCTAATATAGGACTCTTCAGCAGTGCGCACCCGCGACCCCCGTTCATGGCAAACGAATGCATGTCCTTCAGTCTCGCGGGTGAACACGAGCTGGCATGAAACGGTTTTAATGTCTAACTTTGATTATTTCCAAGGATTTTGTGCAGCCAAACCCATTATCTTAGGTAGTTACTGCTTACAGCCGATGACACGCGAGACTGAAGGCCCTGGGTCGGGTTTCTGAGAACGAAGTCGTATATGCGCATTGTTGAATAGTGCCATACTAGGATGAAACGGCCGTCCAGTGCCTACACGTTTCTAATGTTGGTCTAACAATGATTGATTCACGATGGTAATTATATTTTTATTAAATACATGTTTATAGGAGTTTTTATCACTTATTACTAACTTACCAGTCATAGAATAACATTTTTAGTTTGTTAAACATGATTTTTTACACTATCACATTGAATGGCGCTTCGTAAGACTAGTACAAGCTTGTGTCTACAGTTATAGTTAGAAGTAGTTGAAACGTTGTGTGGGTTAGTAGATGGACCAGTCTCTACAAAACTATTGACATTCTGGTTCAATTTTGGCACATTTGTAACATTTCTCTGGTGAATTCAAAATCACATTTCCAATCCTCATTCACACCTATCAGCTAACATCTACCAAAGGCCTTTCATTTTCATAACTCTTTATTTCTAGAGGTTTTTTAGTTAAACTAGTGTCAATCAGTGATGTTTTCAACGTTCAGTGATTATGCTATATCCAGAAGTTTCGATCATATTTCATGAGCATTGTATAATAGTGTACTGAAGATTAAATTTTAAATCTTATCTTTCAGTGTATTTTTGTACTTTTCATCTTAACTGTTAGGTTGCGTTACACTGAGATAATTATAGTAAATAACTCTAGACATTTGCAGTTAGATTATCGATAAAAATTTGAAAAAGAAACAGGATGATTGAAAGTTCTTAGCACACCACATATATTGGACATTGAAAACAATGTTGATAACCGTGGTTAGGATAGGATAACATGAACCGAAATTTCGCGAAACAAAGGCTGTAATTGTTTTCGCCTCTATCTGTTGGTGACGTCAGGTCCCCAGAACTTACTTGATCAATGACTTAATTTTAGATTTTATTCATGGCCTGATTAGTTGACCTTGAAATCACATTTTTTATCAGGACAATTCTTGTCTGTGATTGGTCGATGTTTTATTTTAGTACGCTGGTTTTGTGACTCGCCCAAGGCCGTTTTTGAGACGTATAAATAAACGCGATTTGTGTGTTTGCGATCATTATATTTTCTGGGTGTTTGTAGAATACACTTTCTACGCCATATAAAGACTTTTTCTATAGTTAGTTGGGGAAACGGATCAGAGTAGCCTACCGTGTCACTGGTTGATTGTCTTGTTCTCGTTTATCGACTAAGGTGAACTCGTAATAGTTTCAAGTATATCAAGTGATGAGCATAACACTATCTAGCAAAAAGGGATCAAATTTTTAAGCTAAAAATATCTAATCAACAAGTGGTCCGATGGTAAGGCGCCTACAATGCCAAAGGTCCCGGGTTCGAATCCTGCGAGGGGCAGGAGTCGTGGATGCGCTCTGCTGATGAGTACCATACCAGGACGAAACGGCCGTCCAGTGCTTCCAGGTTTCTAATGGTGGTCTACCAATGATTGATTGATGATTTCAAATGTGTAAAAACGCAAACCTCCAAAACTGTGCCCACAATTGAATTTATTTCAAATTTAAACTGATATCAGTTTTAAATTTTTATTTACTTACCATATCAACTAATGCAATATAGATAAATGTTCCAGCAGTAATGGCAAATATCCAATAACTTGCTGATTCTATATTACCCACACCTATACCGACTAACATGCCTAATAAACAAAGAATTGATGAGATGATATTGAAAAACATAGCTTCTTTAATACCCATACCAGTTTTTAAAAGTACAGCAAAATCACCTATAAAACAAACAAACAAGACAAGAACCTAAGTTGTATCAATGATTGTATAAATGACATTAAAGAAAGAAAAATATTCTAGAATACAAGAATGTTTACATTCTTTGTAGTGTGCACTATTGCGTTATCTATCATGTTGTGGATCAATGGAATTCCATCAGTATTAAAAAGAGTATGATTTACTTTTGTTTAGAATTACTCACAGCATAGTCCTTAGTCAACTCACACTAAGGTTCATCAAAGCTTAGTGATCATAATGGAACTTAATATTCCAATATTGATGAGTTGATTATCATCTTATCAGAACATTAAGTTGACTACAATGTTAAACATTCATAGTTATGTTGGACTTGAGATTATGGATCTAGTGACACGAATGACAGTCGTTTATAACCGTCCTCCTTTACCTTTCAATCCATTTTGTAAGAGTAAGCTAAAATACTGTCTGTATTTTCATACAGGCAAGTTAATTTAACTTAATTTTGGAAATCTAGTCCCTTTTTATAAATTTTGATAGAGTGATGAGAAAACCCTTTCTTATTCTTCCGAAGTTCATTCAGTCGGTCATTTAGAATGTAGAATTTCGTATGTGTGTACATCCGTCCAAGTTGCTATATCACATTAGGATAGACAGATTGAACTGTTAATTCAAATCCTGTAGTAGTAAAGGTAGTAGAAGTATTAGCGGTAATAGAGAAGATTAGGTTTAGTAGAAATCGTTCGAGAACTGTTATCTTGTGAAATAAATTTAGAAAGAGAGAGATAGAGGTGATGAGGAATTCAGTAGGTTAGAATTTGAGGGAAGGTGAAGAATCGATGCACTTGCGCCATTACAAACAGTTTTTCAAAGTCTCTAACCTATTGCATCGCAAACCCAAATCATATAGTCTATACCTACTAATACAGTACCGTCTATTTGCTAGGCTAAGTTAATTATATCAAGTAAAATTAAGTCAAATCAGTGTAGATGTTATTTAAAACAAATTGGTCCCTTTTTTAAAAATTTTGATAGAGCAATAAGAAGACCCTTTCTTATTGTTCCTATAATTAAATGACCTTGTATTAATTTTACTCAGTCATAAATATATTGTTTACAGAACTAATCAATTCACGCTAAACCACTGAGCATTTCAATAACATTTAAACGTATTTGAGAATATAACTTCAGTTATAAACAATAGCTCGTGTTATTCGCTATTAAGTTAAAGTTAAACTAGTTCGTTTTATATGTAAAATCCATATAACTAACAAAATGATATAGTTTATCATCAAAATAGTTTTCAAATGTTTATTTTCTTCATGTAAAAGATAATTCATGATTTATTTGTTCTCCTTTAAATTAAAATAATTTTCTACACCAGATACGAAAATGAAGGTAAATGTTCGCCAGCGAGACCGAAGGTTTTGGGTTCGATTCCCCCTTAGGCAGAGGTCGTGCATGCGAACTGTTAATGAGTCTCGAACTAGGATGAAACGGCCATCTAGCGCTTCTAAGTTTCTAATGCTGGTCCAACATTAGTCGATTCACGATTCCGATGAAACTCAACCATGTCTACAACCTTACGATGAAAAAATGAATTTCGCTTTTTATTCTGTGTGAATCAAATGACATAACACTTTAACAGTCAGGGATTAAGTTATCGCTAATTAGTATCCTTCATAGTTTTAAATTGACACAGAAATTGATACTTAATACAAACTCGTGCAATTTGAAACGAATTTTTCATTAAGTACAGTAGTTGAGTACACGTTTATAAATACCGTTTTCCGCTTCGTTTCATTTTCAGTTGTTAGTGTTCGTAGTTCAGTAAAATTGTTCTGTTTTAATTTAGTTTACGTTGTGGAATGACTAACCAATCATCAAGCGACAACTACAGATCGCTCGACTGGATTTTTGTTCCCTTTTTGGGACTATGGATAATTACCTATCCTAAATTTCTCCAGGACGTGAGGACGAACTTTAACCTGACCTCAAGATTCTAGTTATTAGAATAAGCATGATCGAGAATAATAACGCAAATCAAGTAAATCAAATCATAACATTTGTGTTAACGAATCGTAAAATTTATATAAATAAATTGTCTGATGTGAAAATTAAGTGGTCATACTGACTGAACTTCTACCTGTACCTAGCGTACACTACGATGAATGTTCTTGACCAATTCCAAATTGAATTCATTTCACTTCAATGCCATTTCAAAGAGTAACTACAATGCAAACATTCATAGTTATTTTAGATTGAGATTATGGAGATCTAGTTACAGTAATAAGGGTTGTTTGACTCTCCTCTCGTCCTTTAATCCACTTAGTGGGAGTAAGCTAAAATACTGTTTATATTTTCATACATTCAAGTCGTTTAGGCTCGATTTCCGAAATTTAGTGAGCGATTCATGCCAGTATTAACTTACTTACTTACTTACTTACTTACGCCTGTCAACACCAGTGGAGCATAGGCCACCGACTAGTTTTCTCGAACCTACTCTGTCCTGGGTTTCCCTTTTCAGTTCTGTCCAACTGCAGTTCTTTCTTCTCACATCTGTCTCCATTTCCCGGAATAATGTGTTCTTTATCCTTGGTCTTTTCCTTTGACCTAGATGGTTCCAAGTGGAGGCTTGTCTCGTGACGCAGTTAGGTGCTTTCCGTGGTGTGTATCCTATCTACTTCCACCACTTCTTCCTGATTTCCTCCTCCACTGGAATCTGGTTTGTTCTATCCCTCAGTAGGTTGTTGTTGATGGTTTCTTGTTAAACGGATCCTCAGTATTTTGCTAGGACAACCGTTAATAAACACTTGTATCTTCTGGATGATGGCTTTCGTAGTTCTGCAGGTTTCCGCTCCATGCAGTAGAACTGTCTTCACATTTGTTTTGAAAATCCTGATTTTGGTTTTAGTTGAAAGTTGTTTGGAGTTCCAGATATTTTTCAGTTGTAGAAATGCAGCCCTTGCTTTGCCAATCCGCGCCCTCACATATGCATCTGATCCACCTTGATTGTCGATGTTGCTGCCCAGATATGTAAAGGTTTTCTACATCTTTCAAGGCATCTCCATCAAGTTTGATTTGATTGGTACATTTTGTGTTGGATCAGAGTATCTTGCTTTTCCCTTCGTGTTTGTTAAGACCTAAGTTGATGACATAATCCTAGTAGAAATGTCTTGACATTTGTATTGAAAATTCTATTTGCAGTGTTTGTTGACAGTTGTTTTGAGTCCCAGAGCTCTGCCTGGAGCCCCCTTCGGGGCCACTGCTGGTCCCAAGCCCGAATAAAGGAGGAGGGTTTGGTATGAGGTTGGCGGCTTCATCCCATAAAAAACTAACTCGCTAAAAGAACGCTAACCGAAAAATTCGATTCAATCCAATATTAACTGATTTACCTATAACGACAGTGAAATTTATTCCTGAAATTTAAGGATAAAAGATATATAGCTTTCACTATTGAAATATTCTTTCTGTAGTCTTTAAAAAGAATTCCACATACTCTTTACACATACCTAACTCATGTGGTAGTTCATGACAAAATACAGCAACACTTGTGCTAAGACCACCTGAAATGCTTTGAGCAAATGCAGCACCTGAAAAACAAGTGAAAAGGAAACTCAAATTATTGGCTAAATCGTTTCTTCTCGAAATAAAGTATAATGAATTATTTGAGTGAGATGTTCAATGCTTGCTTGCGCCTACTCAAACTCTCTTCTTCGAAATCCATGACTTATAAACAACGATTGTGACTAGGTATGCAAAACAGAGACTCAAAAACTGATAACATCAGTCAACATTAACATTTGAACTTGTTTACAAATAAGTCAATTGATATATACAGCGAACGCTTGAATTAAACCAATGATAGGTCATCAGTTGTGTTTAGCTTCTCAGCCAGTTCAGATACATACTTCAATACTGAAAGGTGCTATTAATCATGGATAGAAGTCAGTTGTGAGGCATCAATAAGAACTTAACAGCAGGGAATCGCTACTTTGTACTGATAGTTGGCTCCATAGTAGTGTTTGTTCATCGATGATCTTGTCAAGAA